AAGTGCGATTGATACACGATGCCTTAGTGTCCCTCATATGATGATGGGTTGTTCTTTTTGTTGATCCTAGGCTTTTATTGGAATGCAATGGCAGCAACGAGTCTCTAAAGCAATGTAAGTTGTTACCAAGTGCAAATTGTACATTCGTGAAATGCTTGCCTCCGTTACGAGGCAAGATATAGCTACTCTCTGATAAGTCGTAGTCTCTTTCGCATGATATATTAACCCTTGACCCTGAGAGTGATGACCATCACGGCTAATTTCTCCTAACAATATCAGCCTTAAATCAAACATATAGTTCATGAGAACAAAGAAAATGATCGCAAGGTCAAGATGCTCTCGCCGTGTGATTATTCGGCAAATGCTCATTGTAAGTATCATAGGAAATGTATGGAGAACATACCAAACTGATGTTGGGGTGTAAAGGGTTTAAACTAGTCCATATTGAGTTTCAGTTGTAAATAATATTGTTAATGTTAATTTGCTTGTAGCTTTGACTTCGATTTGATTTCAAACTTCCACAGTTTGTCGGTAAATTTCCTTTTCCAGGCGAAAAATCCACTCGAATTGAGACCTCTGTCAGATTTAAGACTTAGCGCTTTACTCTGATGCTTTTTGTCTTGTTAAGTGAACATCTTGCGGCTAACCATTAATGTATTTGGAATTGCAGTCAAGGAAAACGCACGAGAGACGACGGACAAGTTAATTGAAAATGGCTATGAGGGGGGCTCAGAACTAGAAACCCAAGAAGTTGAAGTGTCATTTCATGATTGGAATGAGTCGTCTTCATCCGTGAAGCGCAGAGAAGAAAATACGGAGAACGGTAAAAGGTTTGAAACCAGAGAGATTTTCCGTGATGAGGAGAACACAAGTTCAACTGAAGTGAGAGACGCCCCCGTCCATTTAACATGCAGTCTTTCCACAGAGGAAGATGCAACAATACAGAGCAAGGATGAGAGAAAACAAGACAACGAAGAGATCTCTAAGCCAAAGATTTTTGTTCTTCGGAAGCCATGTTCCCCCGTCCCAATAAGCAGAAGTCGCTCTAGTTTCCCAGATCCCCGAACGGACATTTTTATTGAGTTGCAAGTCCGTAATGACCAAAGGACCTCTGAATACAGCGATAACCAAGATGGCACTCCTGACAACGTGACAGAGCACGTGATCGTTAATAAACAACTCGTCACAGAACACGTGTCAAACACGAAACACCACGTGACTGTGGATGTGAAGCACAACGGTACTAAACAGACTGCGAGAGACTGGGAGGCAAAGTATGTAAAACGTGTCAGCGGCAAGCTGGGGTACTGGTTTCGATTTTACGAACCAAGTTGTGAGCTATTGCTGATGTTTACACTTTACGACAAGCCTTATCCTACCAAGTCAGAGACGAAGTTGAAGGAAGCAGTCCTGGACTACGTTACTATTGAGGTCGAGACGATCAGTTGGAAGTTACATTCCTCAAGGGAGACCAGAGGAGAGAAGGAGCACGATAAACGCGAGCTTGCACTTACTCGACAGGTTCCCCTTGTGGCCGTATCGCCCTCACAGACCAAGGTGTGCATCATTATGAACGAGCTGCATGAATTATGCGACAATGGAGAATGGGTGAAGTTTGAAGAAGCGTGCGAGATGCACCAACATTCGAGCAATTCTGATGTCAAGGTTGCAGTTTTGCTGGAGAAAGCCATTGCATTTTTGTACCACCGGGATCTGGAAAAAGCGGAGGCGACAGCTTTGGAGGCTCTCAGGATTGTTTCCGAAGCTGACAATCACCAACTCCTCATAGGACGAGCTTACTACTACCTTGCGCATGTCTACCGCCGGCAAAAAAAACTTGGAGAAGCAGTGCGGTGCATTGACTTGTCCAAGCAGAATCTTCTCCTGATCGATGTCTGCCTTGACCAAAGTTTCATGGCCTACGAAGAAGGAAATGTCATGAAGGAGTTCATCTCTAGTGGAAGCATTTTGAGGAAGAAGCTTCTTCTCCAAGCTAAGCACTGCTTTGAGCATTGTCTTGATCTCAGTCGGCGGCTGGATGACAGCAGCAACCGGGTGATTCCTCACACGCACAGTTTCGCCCTCATCAAGATGGCCATGCTTCTTCTCGATTGCGGGAGCACCTCAGGACGAGAGCGGTCTGTGAGCAAGGAGCACGTTATGGAAGCGTCAAAGTTCCTTACTGTTTTGCAAAATAATGGCCTGGACGACATAACCGAGAGAAGAAAACTCCAGTTCCTTTTGGCGCGCTCGGATCTCGACTACCGGCTTTCTAACTACCAGGCAGCAGCAAGTAGTGCCCATCAAGCTTTGGAGATGGCGCAGGAGTACGGCTTCCTACTGGAGGAGATGCCAGCCCGTGATCGCATCTACCACAACCGTCAGTTACTTAAAAAGGGAGGAGCTTACGCTTGTCCAGAAATTTAAGCTGACGTTAAAAATTGAATCAAATAATTGTTATTTTCCTGGTTTTACTAAGACGTGTTGCTATAAAGCAGAACAAAATTAATAACCAAAGGCTCTAAATTATTCCTTTTAACCCTTTAACTCCCAGAAGTGATTCACACGAAACTTCTCCTTACATACTCATACATTATCCAGCAAACAAGTTATGAGAATACTCAAACGTATCAGGTAGAAGTTTATGTCCTGATCGAACACCAAATTCTTTTATTTTATTTCCAAGGAAACGAGTAGCAGCTAAAGGAGAGAATTAACAATCAGATCTTGGGAGTTAAAGGTTTAATAGTTTAGTTAATCTGAGCAACTCCTGGCTGAGTTTGGAAGTTGGGGGGGGGACAAAAGACGGAAGTAAACTTCCTACCCTTCCCTCCACTGTAAAATATCTTAAATTGGATAATAACTTCGGAATTGTTTTCCTTTATCCGCGGCAGATTACTTAAAGTAAAAGTCGCAATGTAAATAGCTTTGAGCACAATATGTTTCTATATAACCGGAAACATGTACATCAAAGACTACTCCAATTGTAACTAACAATAAATGTATCTTAATTTGATTAAGATCAATTTAATGATTAAAATAATATGTTGGATTTGTTACTGTTTCTCCACGAGGTAGTTCTCCCAACTGAATACTGGGAATTTTGTTTTTGGCTGGTCCTGATATTTTGATGCTTATCAATTTTTATCATTTTTCCTTTTTTACCTTTTTATTGTAATTTTTATTTAAATTTTTTAGTGCATGTAAATGCAAAAGTTGGTGTGTGGGTGTGAATATGTGAGTGGAATTTTTCAAAAACGAGAAGAAGGAAAAAAAATGCGGAATCATCGTAACCATTCATATATAAAAGGAAAGGGAATATTTAAAATAACAATAAGCCATTTTACTATTATAAATAACGCTAGCATCAAAGCAATATCTATCCTCTCTTACATTAAAGATAAAGAGTATGGAAGCGATCTTTACAATAATGAACTCTACTTAGGCGGTAGTGAAAATACTACCGCTTAAGTATTGTTTATTATACGAGGATCGATTCCATATTCGTTTCTTCATCCGCAGTTCACATACATGATTTTCATATAATTTCAGTCATTTATTAAAGATAATGTTAGTATTTTGTGAAATATTAGTGTTACCAATATGTCAATATTGCTAGTAACGCCAGTATCGTTAACAATGTCGGTTTTGTATTTTGTAGCTAGTGTATAGTTAATTAAAAACTTATGAAATTAAAACAAATTCAGTGCAATAATGGATAATGTTTATATTCTCATCATCGCTGTGCCGAGCCGTGGGCTCTAAACTTAAAGGAATTTACAAGTTGATCAGTCCTAGAATTGTTTAAATTTTAAAGTAAGCCGACGTCACCGCTAATCTATTTAGGATGAAAAAAAAGACAACAACAACAACAAGCTTTTTAAGCTCGTCATTTGAAATAGTTCGCTCTCATTTTATTTTAGTAAAAGCAGTGACTTAATACATACTCGTAACAATGCTAAAAAAAATGAAACGCTCATACTCAGCCAGCCTTAGAAGCTTGGTCGTGATCGGTTTCATCTTTCCTTATATCTGTTAGTTAGCCGTCTCCTCCACAGTTCGTTATCAATTAGTTTTTCATCCCAGGGCAGTCAACTTACATGAAGTATGAAGAAACTTACGAAGATTCTAAAAGTAGATATCTGTCCGTCAACTCATTCCACACTCGCAGGGCAGATACTTCCGGTTCGCCGAATGTGATCATGACTCAGTATTCGGTATCAGTATGTGTAGGCAATTAATGGATGAGGTTAAGCATAATATTATGAATTAACAATGCCGAGGTCTGAGTTATCTGCCGATGCCGAATGCTGAGGCAGAGAACAAAGACACAAAGTTTGATAATCACCACATCATGCGAAATTGATAGAAGAATGTCTCACCGTGGTAACTACATTGGCCAAAAGACACTGTCTATAATGATGTTGACACTTTCAAAATGACACATGTTAAAAAGGGAGAGTGCACCTCGTGATCACATGGCGATGATTGGGAAACTATCTTCCGTCCCGAACCTCACGAGGCGCAAACCAAAAGGAAAAGTTCCGCGGTCCAAACGAGTAGCTTCTTGTCCCCCATCTCCCCTCTCCCCTCAGTATTTTTCGACTTACTCTTTTGTCAAGGGGACCACGCTGCTTTTCCTAATGGCCTTTTAACATTAGCAAGTCAAATAAGGGTAATACAATAAAACAAAAAGGTTAACTACTTAAAGAATTGAGCGGTTTTTTGTTAGACGACCGCATAAAATAAAGAGCTTTCGTGGCAACGTGATCATAATTAGAAAAAATTTCGAATCCTCTATAAATAGTGCAGCTTTGTGTGGGTATTATTGAATTTCAATCTCTCTACGACAATAGTAGGAGGTGTAGCTTGTTATGCACCTCCTGCATATTTTCCGCGTCGTCTGATGATAAGTTTCCTAGATTGTGTTCCAAACATTTCAGTTGCTAACACGTTTCAGGGAACGAGGTGAGTTAGTCCACTGTCTTTTTTTTCAATATTTCACCGTTCTTAAGCCTTAGGCAACTACTCTAAAACAGGTGGAGATCCAGTGGGGTTTAATTTCTCTTGTGGGTGACATCACCGGGCCTCGTGAACATCTTTGTGTGGGTGTTATTATCGTTTCGCGGTCTCGAAAACTCTCGATTTTTGTATTTATTCTTCCTCAACGACTGTGTGGTAAAAATTATATACATACATACATTACATATATATTTATATGAACTAGAACCACACATGGTAACTGTGAAACGAAGACGCAATGAATTTCTATGCATTTTTGTTATTTTGCGACCGGAAATATATCACGCATAATTCCCTAAGTTACTTGGCAAAAATGAAAGATTTAAGAGCCCGATCACCCAAACGAATTAATATTTGGCTACTAGACGCATTTGCAAAGTTCTCAGTATTGATGAACAGAAACGACGAGAAATGTGTTATGTTATATTGGGTTAGTGTTTGAAACGCATGACCTTAACAAGCCTCACACGTTGTGTGCATAATATAACGTTGTAAACAATAAAAACATTTCTATTCTATGAATCGACTTTGCAAAACATTATGTATTTATTCAAGATAAGCTAAGGGCGGTCATTCATTCGGGCGGTCATTCGAGCTTTACCGAGTACAGTGACGGTGATCGACTGCCAAATGGTGAGTATTTATAACTGGCTTAAACTGCAAAACTAAGAAACCAAAAAGATAGAATGATTAAGTAGAAGATTGGTATCATTTCGTAAAACGTTGCTCGGGGTCATTTCCAAGTTATCGATGTTGCATCGCATACGTTGTAATTACCTATCGAAAGTGCAACCATTAACTACAATTGTAACCAACCGACTTCAATTTAAAGCCCTATCTAATCCAAAATTGATCTACTCGGCTGATTCAGTTTATTTAAAACCCCTAGTCCAATTTTCGGCTTACTTGAATCAAAAGTTTTTGGGTGAACCACTATAAACTATTTCATGTCTTGACTTTTGGAGCACGAGACGAACTTAGTATCATTTTATCATCATCATCTAGTTGTTATCGTTACCGCGCAATTTCGGGTATGCGGAAACTTTCGAAACCGAAGGAAAAGACTATCGTGCACATTAGCAAAGGCGATGAAAAGTGTCCACTCAGAAAAACAAAAAACAAAAACAAAAAACAGAAAATAAAAGTAAAGGGAAAGTTAAAAAAATAATCGAAGTTACCGTAATTACTCGATTAAACGCCGCAGTTTAGAGCAGAAATATTAATAAACGCCCCCCTCGAATAAACGCCGCATCATGATGCGGCGCTTATTCGAACAATAGACTAAAAAAACACATAGCGATAAATGCTTCGATCGCAGTTGGAAATTTTGGGTGAGCCAGATACAAATCCTTGTGAATTTACCAGTTCTGATGTCGAGAAAACATATCCGACATTAGATCTTTATTAGCTTTATGTATTGCAGTAGCATTAACATGCAAATTGTGAAATCGAGAACGATATAGAAAATTACTTTTTAGACAAACACTAAGACATTTTTTTCTAAATTCAGATGGTCAGTTGCCATATTATTGTTTGCAAGAAATAAATTGGATTTTAAATGAACGCCACCCTCGTATAAACGCCGCCCTTGAATGTTTATTGCACTCGAATCGCGAAAAATTTGATAAATGCCGCGGCGTTTAATCGAATCACTCCGAGGAGCGACTGGTGTCTAATGTTACGAGAATGTATATAAAAAAATGATTGTTAAACAAATTCTCCAGGTCAGCACCATAAGAAATGTATAGAAACAGTATGAAGAATATTCAACATGATCATTAGGCAATAAAGATTAAACCGCGCCACTCGACTTTAAAACTGAAAACAATTATTTCATATCTCTTTTGTAACGCTTTGAAAGTGCCACGAAACGGAAGACGCCTTGATTTTTTTTCTCTCTTGTAACGGCTTAAATTTTCTACTCACTACGTTAAGAGACTGATAATCTGACATCCAGATTCAAACACAAGGAGAAGCCAACAGGTCGATTCAGTTCAGACATTTCAGAAGGTAAAACTGCCCCCCCCCCCCCCCCCCCAAAAAAAAAAAACATGCTTACACTGTGTTTCAAGGAAAAAATTAGTAATTAGGCACGAGAGACTAACCGCAAGCACCAAAGGTTAAGATTTGCGGTTTCTTTTTAAATCTGTTTTTATCATTATTATTGTGATTGCTTTTTACACGACTAATCTAGTCACGTCTGTCTGAGTCATCCCGCAAATAAAGGGCTGCGTGGTGTATTTAGCAACAGACCGCACCTTCTTGCAGGTTACCACAATAATAACCCACGCAGGATATTGAAAGAACACGAGAGAAGTTTGTATATCACGAGCCGGAGGCTCGTGATTAACGAACTTATCGAGTGGTTTACTAAGCCAATAAAACTATAAATAGCGCGGTCTACCGCTTTTATAAAATAAACTTAACATGGGTTTACTGATGAAATAAACGTAGGTTTTTACAGATTAGGGTGCTTGTAGTATTTCAGTAAATTTTTCCACGTGTACTCTATTCCTAAACTTAAGAAATGGCTGTAG